GGAAGACAGGTTGGCTTCACTCGGTAGCATCTGAGGAAATAGATATGTGGTAGCCTGCTCAAACTAGATTCCACTGTAGGTGACTGGCAAGCAATATTCCCTGCAGACAGTGAGAACAGAGCATCACCTTTACCACATGAATACAGATGAGAGAGCTCTTCTCCCAGAGCTGCCATCTAATCTGGCAGCTAAATTCACTGTGTAACACTGAAAGAAATACAAGTGGGTTTTTTACTTTAGCTGTTTTGCATTTTTCAACTAATGTATTTCAGAAAGTGGTTGAGAATATTGTTGAGAGCCTGACAGCCTTAGAAATCGGTAGGAGAGCACACAATGATACAGCGAGACACTTTGTTAAGATGTATAAAAACACCGTTTGTCATGAAATAGCCTGATGCCTTCAGCAACTACTCACAACTACAAACAGGTCTGGGACCATCTGACGTTTTGGTTCTTTCTACCAAATATCAAAGTTACCATCCAGCACTCAGAGTTTGTTTGGGGGAGAATACAAATAATTAAACTGATTAAAACAGAAACCTCATAGGAAATCAACTTTATATTCAGCTCTTAGCTGAGAAAATACCTAAAATAACAATATTGGTAACTGTATTGGGAAACAGTGCTCTTAGATGGAGACTGGATGACCCACAGGATGGCCCAAAACAGTTTAAACAGTAGAGTAAATATTAAGAAAAAGTCTAGGCATGGCTGAGCCCATCAAATTAATACCAAATCCATCTGGAGGAGCGTCCTGCACAATTATTTTTACTCTCTAACAAGATCTTGTGAATACACAAGCAATATCCTTTTGCAGGTGCTGATCCAGTTACCACCTGTCTCATGGGACTGAACGGAAGGTTTGATTTTGATCAAAGTTAGAAAATTTAGACACCTGATCAGCACTGGCACTACCAGGAAACGTGCTGTCCAGAAACACCTTGCCCTGAGGGAGTAATGAAAATGGATGTGATTTTACTTGGCTTTAGCTGCCTTCCCACTGATTAGCAGACACACTTTATCCTGCTAAAAAAGGCAGATACCTCCCTTAGGAAAAAAAAAAAGCAAAACAAAAACCTGAACATAATTTTGTAGTTAGTATCAGAAAAGATTATCCAGTGGGGTCCCTTCTAAGTGCGATAGCGACTGCGTGATGAACTTCTGCAGCTTTGATTTATGGCTGATGAAAACTGACTATTAGGAATTCAGAGAAGTTGCAGCTGTTTAAGGAAAGAGGTATCATAATTAATTATGGTATTATAATTAATTAAAAATTAATGTTTAATGCAAACAGTACAACTTCTATGGTTCTGTTTCTGTAATAGATAGAGGATCCAATACTTTTCTTATTTATGCAATACATACTTGTATTTTCTATCAATATCTGCCTTAACAAGAAGGTGGAAGGACACGAAAGATTGCCACTCACAGAAATCTGCTGGTTCTAAATCTAGGGCATTCTACAATCTACATGCTGTTCTAGGTCCTTTTGAAAACACAATTCATTACAACTGATGAGTAAGTGCTAGAATTGTGACAATCTGTTCAACTGATCACTTTAAGATAAAAAAAAATTATATGCTTAAGTTGAACAAAGGTCTTATTAATTCTTACATGTAGATCTGTTCCACACTAACAAGCAAGGAATTCCCCAGTGAAGTGTCCTGTACTTCTCACTCCACTTTCACTCATGTAAAACCCAAAAATCTGCCTACACACCTTACAGCAAGGCTACCTAGGTTAGAGAAGTCAGCACACATGACTATATTAAAAATTCACCTCATTATTACTAATTAGGACAGTGATATGCAAAAAAGGGGAAAAGGGAGTGTGTGTGTAGAGGGAAGCAACACACCGACTTCCATATGAACCATTTATTGAATAAATACATGCATCATAATGTAGAATTACATGAGCAAAAAAGGCAATCTGTACAAAACTGATTACCCTTTGTTGTCATTTCAACTCTCACCATTTGCTGCAGCTCTGATACAGGATTCAAGACAGAAAATGAAAATTCTTTTAATCCATATCCAAGTGATATGCATGCTGATTTGAGTTCGGGTTAGACCACTGCTATAATTCAGAAAGCTGGTTTTCTTGACAATGAAGCAGAGTAATTCTAAAACCAGTTTCAGTAGTAGAGAACGTGTGTTGGCAATACAGGTAACAAAGCTTATTTTTAGCCATTTCTTAAACATCTTAATATGTCCATAATTTAAGGCACAGGATAAACAAGAACAACATGAAAAGCTATCACTTGATAATGAAGTGCAATTTTTGCCCAGAGGAAGAATGATGTTCGTCCTTCCTGCTTCCATATAAACGGAACAATCTGAATTTGGTAACTATGATACAGAGGTTTGTTTCCACTATCAAAAGAATCAGACTCATCTAGGCAGTCATATTTGATCCAAATTCACTCAGGAGAACATTTCTAAAGAGTCTGGCATCCAGGGCTGGTTACAACCAATGGGAATTACTGTTACTGAATTAACAATGACAATTCAATCTCTTAATTTTAGATTCCTAAATGGTAACTGGGCTGTCTTAAGAATTTACCTCTAATTTTAGGTTGTGAGCTGTTTTGGAAATCTGTCCTATATTCAGTTACTCACATTATGGTATCATCTCACATTTACCCGAACACAGCATTTCTTTACCCCTCAAGACAACAAAATGCACACTTCTTTTGTTTAAGTGCAGACTCTTCTAATATCTGTCCCCAGACTTCACTTAAGACTTGAAACACCGAATCAGTCTAACAGCCCGTTTGTTGGCTATGGATCAAACTCTGGGGAGTCACTGGCCAAGATGGACAGCAAAAGTTCTTCCACCTCAAGCTGAACCAAGGCAAAAGACAATTATGCTGAACTGCTGCACTTAGACCTCCTTTCTTTAGATCAGCTTTTGCTTTCTGCATTTTCATTGCATTAACAATAATTCTCTTTCTTTCTATTCTTAACATTTTAATGGAGAACTAGCAAAGAAAAGATGTATTTCATAATATATTACATTTTATATGAACAGATGTGTGTGTATATGTATATATATATAGATACTCATACATTCCAATATAGAGTGAAGCCTTCAAATGGAAATGTTTTCTTTACAAAGAATGTCTCTCTATTTCCCAGTCCATCAGAAAGTCACAGCAGCAAAATTTACAGTGTAAGTTTGCTAAAATTGTCTTGTATAAAATGTGGCAATAAGAAGGCCGCCACTGTATAGAGGTGTATGTGTGCGTGTCACACAGATCCGTGACAAATGTTCATGTTAAGCTGAATTTAGACAAACTGAAATGAGTCAATTCTTAAACTTGAAAAAGACAAAAAGCTACATCTATGGTAGGCACTTTGGTACGTCTAGTAATGTAGGCATATTCTACACCTAGAATTAAGGTTTTGTCAGTAATCTTACGATAAAGCTAATTTCAGGATTTTATTACTCTGCTTTAAAATTCTTTCTTGGCTGAGAGATCATTCTAGAATCTTAGCTCAATAATATATTTTGTCTGTCTAATTGCATACTTATCCGAGAGAGAGGGCGTTTGCTCTGAAAGAGCTGAACTGTTCTCTTGGATTCTTAATGCACATTTTTATAACAGTCTGCGAAAACTTACCAGAAAAGGAAAAATCAGTTCTGAATACAAAAAAAAATTCCCTATAATTCGTAAAACCAGAGTTATAAGCACAGCTGTTCAGGCTGATAGTCTCACTTCAACTCTCAACTGTGTACTTTTATGAGTTTGTGCTAACTGGATCACCGCTGCAGTCCTGCAGCAGGCTATGGCAATGCTTCGGTAGAATGCCATTATTTCTCAAGAAACCTGTGCGGACCACTGTGTTTTTCATGCATCAAACACACTAAGTAGCAAAGAAGCAACTGTAAAGACAGTCAATGTCAACTCAGTTTCACACTTTCTTACCAACTGGTGTTCCATTTTCATATTACAGAAGGTAATAGCATAATATAGTATTTAGCACAGTATTGTATAATAAAAATAATGTCTTGTACGTATGCCTACTATATGAACTTACATTGCAAGCTGATTTGTATCCCTTATAAATCAGTGAAGCAGGGCAGTAAGGACAGTTCTAAGTTGTTAAGAGATTTTGTTTATAATACAGAAAAATCCATGTCCTCATACCTTCAAAAGGTCACGTCTAGTACTATAGAGTACAGGAATAAATAAAAAAATCCACGTGAACCTGTATAATAAAACCGTACTGTTTGTTATGTTTACTCCATTAAATGAAAACTCAGATTTAGAAACCGTGATTCATGGACCTCATCCTCTATTTATACAATATTTATAGAATTCTCATTTTTGTTTATAATATTCTATAGCATGATTTTCCAATAATACATTTATATATAAATATTAAAATGTTAATGTTTTGTACATTTTAAGCTAGCCACTCTGGGCTAGAAACACAATAAAGTAAAAATGTTTTTCTGCAGTTTGTTTTTGAAGAATATCACAAAATGATTAAGACCATTGTGCTGCAAAGACAAAAGAGATTCATCTGAAGAAATTAACATGCATTTAGAAGAAAATATCTATATTCTTTATCTAATTTTCTTCTGAATTCAAACCAGCATGAAAGAATTATAAAAAAATAGTATATATTTACATGGTACAGTATACCTTGGTGAAATACAAAACAAGGCAGGAAAACAGCAGAACATAATCTTTTCACTTTCTAATAGGTACAGCCATCATAAAGATAAATTTAAACACAAAACGTTACTTTACTGTACTATTGCACATTACAGTAACACATAAAATTGTTTAGCAAATTAAAATACAAAGTTTAACAATGAGAAAGGCTACATCGACATAAAATGACCAAGTGTTATAAAATTATTTGGGACGTGTCTAAGAACTAAATCAGTAAAGCTATAAAAATAATATTGGTACATCTGTGAGAACAACGCTTTAAAAATATATAAAGGTTGGCAAAATTATGTGTGGGGAATTCCCAATATGCATGGGCCTAACTTGCACCATGTGGCCTTGTACCATCTTCTGTTAAATCATACCTGAAAATGAAAAAAACAAAGGAAATTTTTTAACATTTATCATGCATCATTAAAACTATTATTAACGCATCAGTTATTAGTGTGTAATATTAATACGAATAAAGGCAATATTCTACTTACCACTGGGTCCAGCCTTTAGCAAGTTCTTCAGATGCCAGAGGTATCAATAACTGTGGAAAGTTAAATTAGCAATCAATATATTATGTGTGCCTTTCATTCTATGTCTTTTAAAGATCAAATCTAACAATCCTGTAAACTACAGTATAAGTAATGCCATTAATAAACAATATATTTTACATCTTTGTCATCACAGCTATCTGCTCGACTTTTAGTAAAGTTTCAAGTTGCTGTTTTTGACCTAAAAATCTATACCCACATGTGATATGGTCCCAGAGCACCTCAGAGGCTTAAATTCTGAACATGGCATATCTTGGCAATGGAAAGCAGCTGATGTGTTTGTGCTAACAGCCTTCCTGGTACACAGGAAAATTAAGAACACTGTTCAGCATGAACTGACCACAGTTCTGCTATCTCTCATCCTCTTTACGCAGCTCGAACATGGCAATTTGCAGTGGTGTATGAATTTACTGCTCCTTTTTGCGCACTCCAAATCATATATGTAGGAAATAGAGTGATTTAATGAGTGCCTATAGAACAGTGAAGTTAAACATAATAGCTGGTTTTGGCATTGGGAATGTCTCCAGTAGCAATTCTTTCTTATGGATTTTACAATCTAGAATTTTAATTACTAATTATACATTTGTTCTGTCTGCTTCTATAGTTAGTCTTGCTTGTCTTTCCACTTTTGTCTGAACATTTTCTGAGATATCACCTGTTTTCTACTGGTTATTTTCTTTCGTTGGGTGTGTGATTAGTAATCATAGAAGTGTATAATATGCATGTTTCTTTTGTTACTACAAGCCTCAGAACTTAACATTCTCCAGAAGATATTACTGCCTCATCTTTTGATGTCTGTCTCTGCAGTTTGTTCCTTCCTTTACTGAAGGTTGACATCTAAGCCATCTATAATTTTTTAAAGCTTCTTACCTGAATCAGGTGCTTCAGTCAACACTAACAAGCTCATATCACAAGAGGACTTTAGTCTTGTATATTAACATGCTGTATTAACAGAATTTGCTTGTTGTCAACTTACTTTGCCAAGCAGCCCTTTATCTTTGGACAAGAAACCACCGCTGTTCTTCACTGCTACATCTAGTGTTCTTCGCTGCACTTCAGGCAGGGAAACACTGAAATCAAATCTGACAGGCAAAAGGATGCTTTAGAGAGAATTTTGTACCTGAAGTGCAACTTCAGTTCCTACAGCTAAACAATTCAAATCATAACCAAACCATCCCCCTCCTCAAACAAAAAATGAGGTCTGAGATAAACAAAGAAAAAAATCACCATGTTTTGCCTAAAAGTTTTCTTTAATACTATGATCAATATCAACACCAAATCTTTGCAACTTCTGTTACCTTTGGTCTCTAGAAGCTGCTGGTAAAATAAAACAATCAAACAAACAAAAACCAAACCAAGGAAAAGGTCAACCACTGACTCTACAGAGAAGAGAATGAGGAATCCTACTATCTTGCCAGCTCAGTATCACTATTCTCCAGAAGGGAAAGACTGGTCAGTCTTACTGATCTTCAGTCCTCTAGAACCAGAGCTCCTTTTCTTTCCTGGCACACCAAGGAAACCTATCAACTTTTAAGAAAGAACACATTTTGTTTGCTAGATCTGAAATTTATAAAGAGTGAGAGCAAGATTATACCACAATCTACACCTATTTGTCATTACAGTTCTTAAACAGCTTTATTGCTTTGCAACACATTTTACTTGGAAAGGCACAGTAAAACAAATCTATTATCTGGAATAAACAGGAGAGAGCTGCAGTACCAGAAAAACCTACAGAGCCTCTAACTGATGATTTACAGATTCCCTTGGACAGAACAGACTGAAGTGTTGTATTCCCCGAATTAAGTTTCTGTCTTTAGAGAAAGGTCTTCTTCATTGGTAAGTGCTGGGTGAGGGAGGAAGGGGCACACATGTGAGAGAAACTACCAGCAAAAAGCTGAATGCAGAGATAAGCACTAGCTTGCACAGCTTTCAACCTATGGGCCAAGATATAACCTACGAGGAAATTTCCCGACTCCCTGGATGCTGAGAAGTGCCACCAAGTAGACTGACTGAGCAGTTTGATGATGCATAGACACTGGCTGGCCAATCCTACCAAGGAGGCAGCATCTATCAGCCAGGCAATGGGCCGGTCAAATCAACATGCTTCCTGTCAGGAAGGGATACCAACAGCATTGCCCAGCTAAAAGGCACTCATGTTCTGGCCACCTGCCAGTAGAGTGCACACTGCTTCTTAGCCACCAGCACAAAGGGGATGTAACTGATCTAGGATAACCAGAAAATAAGAGAGAAGCAGCTGGTAAGAGAGTAAAAAGGGCTATAGTGATAACAGGGAATTAGAAGGATGGGAAGAGCTATTATAGCAGAAGAGAAAGGTATGAACCAAGTCTGGTGCTGACAACGAGGAGTTCTGACATTACCATTCAGGTAAGCTGAGAAACTTTGATTTGACAGATTTGTAATTACAGGATATAAACCTACTACGCATAGTCTAGAACATACATTTGATCAAACACTGGGTTTAATGTCTTCTTTGATACATGTGTTTTTCTTCTTCCTGATCGTCTCTTATCAGGCAATAAATACATTCGCACGTATGGATCGGATCCTTCTTCTGAAAACGCTATTAGATTTCTGTGACCGGGGAAAAAAAAGGAAAAACACTTAGAAAATAAACAAGACATTGCTGAATATAAGTGTCACTGCTACTGCCACTTAATTGAGTACACAAATCAGTTGTGGGATATCCTGCACAACGTATGATGTGCAGGATACAGCACATAGCTAATAGCAGTGGTAAAGAAAAACTGAACAAATGTCAAGCAGTGAGTTGTACAAGAACAGATAAATGGTGAGCAGACAGCGGAGGTGGGAATACAGTGCTTCTTAAATTCCGATTTATTTCCAAAAATCATGCATTTTTGTCATTCCATGAAAAATTCAGTCTATTAAGAGATAGCCTTCAGGCACTGCTGATAAAAATCTACATGTCATTTTAATTTAAATCTGACAGAGGCATAATAGACAAATACAAAATTACAGCAAAATCTTCAACAAAGTTTTAATGATTCCGAGTATAGCTCTGTATGTTTTTGTATTTACATATAATTACAATCAGTATGTTATTTTACAAATAACAAAGATCATCCAGACAACTGATTTAAAAGGATAAATCAAGATATGACAAAGTTTACAAAGAAATATGTGCAG